CTTCTGAATAGCTAGGATTATAGACATGAGACATTGCCACCTGGCCAAAAGCAAGTTCTTAATGCTGAAGAAAAGTAAACCGGGGGAAATTTGGAACTAAAGGAATTTATGGAACACTGAACATGATAAGCACTTTAAAATCCAAAAGATTATTCTTTTGATCTTGTTTTTAAAAATATGTATGATTATTGAAATGATCAAATCTTTATCTAGCATTGTATATAGGTTCAACATATATGACAAAATATAGATGGGGGACAGTAAAGGATCCTATAAAATCATATAAGGCCAGCTGGGCACCAGTACCTCATATATGTAATCTTATCTATATTCAAAACCAGCCTGGACAAAAATTCGTAAGACTCCAGTTCAATCAATAGCTGGGTGTGTGCTTGTCTTCCTAGCTATGTAGTAAGTATACATAGGAGGACTGTGGTCCATGCCGGCCAGGGGGGAAAAGTAAGACTATTTGTAAAAGCAAAAAGGGCTCAGGGAGAGGCTCAAAAGGTAGATCAACTGTTTAGCAAGTGCAAAGTGCTTTCAAACTGAAGTACCAGCAAAATAAAAAAAAGCTGAAAGGATTGCAATGTTCCTATATTGTCCTTAAAATGATAATATTACCTCTAAATAGAAAGATTTTGTGTATATTCTGGAAACTTCAGGACAACCATTAGAATATAACAAAACTAAGCCCAAAAATAAATAAATAGAATATAGAAAATACTGAGTTGTGGCTACATTGAGAGTACTACTAATAAAAATTTATTAGAGTACAGTCCTCTGTAATCAAGCAGCTTTCTTTAAGTCATACAATATTTCTCACAGTGGTTTCTCAAAATTGCCTTGCTAGAAAGAAATTTAATTTTTTTTTTTTTTTTTTTTTTTTTTGTCGGTCGTGGGGCTTGAACTCTGGGCCTGGGCGCTGTCCCTCAGCTCTTCAGCTCAAGGCGAGCGCTCTACCACTTGAGCTACAGCGTCACTTCCGGTTTTCTGGTGGTTTATTGGAGATAGGAGTCTCACGGTCTTTCCTGCCCGGGCTGGCTTTGAACCGCGATCCTCAGATCTCAGCCTCCTGAGTAGCTAGGATTACAGGCGTGAGCCACCAGCGCCCGGCAAGAAATTTAATTTTATGCCAAACGTTTCTATCTTTTTAGAATTATCTAAAGATTTAGCAATGAATAATGTCAATGATTAAATGGCTCTTATCACTAAATGTCCTAAATGTCTGAATTCTAGAATTAAAATTCTTTGAGATAATTAAGTTTCTTGTGTATTAATTCTTTACACTCTTACATATTACTCAGTAAAATCAATTAGACATTAATTGATGAGTTAAATAAAATCTGACATACATTCTTTTCTTTTTTCTTTGGGTGCCAGTCTTGGGGCTTGAACTTAGGGCTTAGGTACTGTCCCAGAGCTTTTTTTGCTCAAGGCTAGCAGTGTTACCACTTCCAGATGTTTGATGGCTAATTTGAGGTAAAAGTCTCAGTCACTGCTGCCTGGGCTAGCTTCAAACTGTGGTCCCCAGATCTCAGTATCCTGTATAGCTATAATTATAGGTGTAAGACACTGAAACCAACAGTATGTAATCATTTTTTGCATAATTAAGGTTTCTACATTTGAAATTTATTATCTAAACATAAGAAGCCTTTTAAAGGATGATACAGACTGCTTGGTTTGCTTCATGTCCCACTTGATTTTCATATAAAGGAACATGAGCTCACAACTCATTCATATTCATAAACATTTATAAGCTACATTGTATGAGAATTCTTTTACAACCAAATATTTGTGATCAAAACCAAACAAATCCCGTAGCACTCAAATAGCAAAGTTTGGGGGACTAATACATCAAAAATGACAATTATAGGCACAAGCGGATAATTTAGGTTAGAAGCACATAGAAACATAGATGCAACATGTTTCTTCTTTCATTTTTTATTTACGATGCTTTTGCCTATTTTTGTTGGCCTTTTATTAGAAGGTTAGTTTCTTAGTGATATCACACTTTACCCCTTCAATTAAAGGGCAACAATGACTGCTTTAGCCACTTCCATCTTACTGCTGCCTCTCCTTCCTTCCAATGAATGTTCTCACCATAGCTACACATATTTTTCTCTTTATCTTTCCCTATCAGTAAGATTACCATTTCAGGACTGTCAAAGACTATTGGAAATGAGACAGGAATTTCTTGGGGATCAATAAACTCTACATAGTCTTTCTGGATAACAAAATTGGTAATGGGACTTGGATAGTTCATCCAAGAGGATCAATTATAAAAAAAAAAACCACAATTCTCAAGTGAGTTTTTGAAAAACACTTCATTAAATTTTAATGAAATGTATTCATTCAAATATTGAAGAAACCAATCAGTTCTCTCTTAGAATGAGAAAGAAGATGTGTATCTTTAAAACAAGTCAAGAGTGATTTTTTTTTTTTGGGGGGGGGGGGTCTGAACTCTGGGCCTGTGCCTTGTCCCTCAGCTCTTCAGCTCAAGGCTAGCACTCTACCACTTGAGCCACAGCACCACTTCCGGCTTTTTCTTTTTGCTTATGTGGTGCTGAGGAGTCGAACCCAGGGCCTCAGGCATGCAAGGCAAGCACTCTACCACTGAGCCATGTTCCCAGCCCCCAAGGGTGATTTTTAATCTCATATTAGTGGCTTACAGATTTCAGCTCCCTGAAGCCAAAGGAGTATAATTTAAATATTTTTTGGAAAGAGATAAATTCCAAATTAGAGAATAGTAAAAGTTCAGAATTAGAATGGTCCTTGGTGATACCTTTCTTTCTTTTTTTCCCCTTGGTGATATCTTGTATAATAATCATGTTTTCCAGATAAGGAGATAAATCGAAAGAACTCTTCAGCCTTATCAATTAATGAGATAATCAATAAAAGACATCTGCTTCCTATTTGGTAATTTTATACCATACAATAACCCTAAAGCAGTAGTAGCAAACATGCATGATCTTCCTACTTACTAGGTACAATGCTCAGTACCTTAGAATTATTCATAATTCATAATTGACATACTCATATTCATAACTGACAAATATCCTGTGTCTGAGAATGTGGCTTTTGTGCTCAAGAATAGTTAGTGCCCTTACTACTTGAGACATAGTTAAAATTCTAGATTTTTTGGTGATTAATTGGAGATAAGCACTATAGACTTTCCTGCTGGGCTGGTTTTGAAGTTACAGATTTTCCTTCTGGGCTGGTTTTGAACTACAATCCTCAGATCTCAACCTCCTGAATAGCCCCTGGTGCTGGGCACAATAACTAGTTTTAAAAGCTGAGAATATATAGAAAGCATTCTTAGCAAAATGTCTTCTTTGATCTCTGCATACCAACAAATGAAAGCTTGAGAAGAGATCATAGTTGTTCATAACAGCCCATTTCCTTCCTCCTGCTTTCCCTTTATTCCTATTATTTCATAGCAAGGCCATTGAAGCCACCGGACTATAAAGTGAGTGTAGCTGACTGAATGCAAGGAAGGGCTGAGGATTAGGATTCCATAATCTTACAACTAGTTTCAGTCAATGTTAAGATGACCTAAACAGGTGTTGGATGTGGAGGTGAGACTTTAAATCATATGATATGTTCTACTATCACAGTACCATTCTCTATTTCTGAGAACATGTTTGAAGAAAGGACGCAGTGGGGGGCTGGGAAAGTAGCTCAGCGGTAGAGTGCATGCCTTGCAAGCATGAGGCCCTGGGTTTGATTCCTCAGCACCACATAAGCAAAAAGAAAAAAGCCGGAAGTGGCGCCGTGGCTCAAGTGGTAGAGCGCTAGCCTTGAGCTGAAGAGCTGAGAGACAGCGCCCAGGCCCAGAGTTCAGGCCCCATGACCGACAAAAAAAAAAAAAAAAATGGACGCAGTGGATGCCAGAATGTTTAACAAATGACTCTTAGGACAGGAGAGATGATTGATAGCATTTGTCAATATGATGAGCCCTGAAGAGAGTACTAGTAAAGAGTCCAGGGTGTGTCTCTAGGTTAAACACAGGCAGGAGACATGCCCTAAATAATAGAGCCCATAGCCCCTTTGATTCTACTTCCCTATGCTAAATTTTAACATCCATATTTTCTGTCTACTGTCCAGAACAGTATAAAATAGTTCCAAATCCTAAAAATGAATTTGTCTCATTCCCAGATAAGACCATTCTCCAAGCAAATGTTCACTACTGGTTTCCATCTGCTAGATCGATAGCAAGACTGAACTATACTTACTATATTCCTTTTCAACTACTGAATGGTATAATTGGTATAACTGGTTGACCCAATTATCCTCTCTAGACTTAGACTATATCTCTAATTCTACATTATTGAAAAGGTCTCTCATATTTTGCTTGATCCTATTTCCACTAACCTTGTTACAACTCATATATCTTACATCTGAACATTTGCTCACTGAATATGATGCATAAAATTATTATAATATAAGATGCTCTCTGGTTATAAGAAAGATATAGATGGGCTGTAAGAGTTTAGTTGCCAATGTAATCGTTTTTTTTTTTTTTTGGTAGATACATAAAAAAAAATCTTTAAAAAACCTTTAAGTCATTCAGCTTTTTTTTTAACACTTCTATATTAAAAAAGGAAATCAAAACAGTAAACCTTATATTCTAACTTTTTCTTTGTTTTCATTAACATAGTAGTATATCTATGGGCCATTAACATATATTTAAAAAGCTATGCTTCCTAAACACTGGAAATTATTAAGCATCTCTATAGCTAAGAAAGAGTCTTTGTTTCAGTCAGCTCCCAGGTGGGGGGAGGGAAAGAATATTTAGAAGTACAGTAAGAATATTAAGGGTAAACTTTCAAACTTTACTTTAACATGATTCATCAATGGGACATGTACTTTACATAATCTGTAGAGAAAAGAACACTTGTACAGTCTGCCAGATATCTTCTGTACAATCAATCTTGAATCTAGGGAATCAAAATGTATAACAAAGCAGTTATTTGCACTCCAATAACTTTGAAGGCTCTTACCTGTACATTTGTAATCAGAAGCTACCCCTTTAAGCACAGCATCAAAAATAGATATTTCCACTCGCTGCTTTCTGTGGTGACAACTCAGAAGCAAGGAAGGCTGGGACACAATAAAGTACAGAAACGGTTCTAGCTCCAAGTCACCATTTCCTCGTCGACCAGGCTGCCGAACAATTGTTATGCCAAGAGCTTGTCTAGCAGATGACCTTGTAGATGCACGGAGACTTTCAAGAGAAAGAACCCCTATTTTTTTCCCAGAAGGGAAAGAAGTGTTACTGCTTAAGAGATCTTCTGCTGTCACAGTGGAAATACATGCCTGATCAGGCTTAGCAGCATCTGAATCAACTTCTGGGAAATTCAATGAACTCTTGCCTGTTTTTTCACCTTCTTTCTGTTCTTGTGATTTCAATTTGGGTAAGGCTTTACAGGAATATGTCATTAGTGAGATTCTACTTGCAGTAATAAATATGTCAAAGGGAATAAAATTTAGATTTTTTACAATTGACGACTGGCGTGAGGGACGAGCAATGCGGTGCTGACTGGCACCACTGTGTGGCTCTATCTGCACTATTCTGATTTTAACGCTGTCACTGCCAATTCCACTGTCCTGGGCACCACTATACCGAGACCAGGTTTCAGCTATGCCACCATCAAATGCATCCAGTTCTTTCTGTTCTTGTTTAGACATCTGTAGGAAAAACAAAGACACATTGCAAAGTAGTTACATAATGAGTGTTAATATGTAAATATGCTGTTTAAAGGAAAAATTTTAAATGAATCTAAAGTAACATAACAATGTTCATAAGTAGGTCACTGAAAGAAAATAAAATGCCAAGAAATGCTTGGGAAAAACCATCATATGTGCATTTCCTTCATTAAAATATACTTCTTTTGGGAGGGGTCATGGGGCTTGAACTCAAGGCTTGGGGGCTATCTCTGAGTTTCTGTGCTCAAGGCTAGTGCTCTACTACTTTGATCCACAGCATTACCTCCTATACGATACTTTTCACTATCAGAATTTCTTACTTTAGTTTGATACAGTATTTTTATTGCCTCCTCAAATAATTGCTGTGGTAAATATTCTTTACAAATAGTCTTTCAGGTAATATATTAAACTCTTTCCAAACTATATTCATCTTTGGTTGAGTTACATTTTATATGAGTACAGCCACTATTATATTGTTTACTCTTGTTATACAACTGATTTAAAGGTTTTTGGACAGTAGGAAAGTAGTTTTAAATTAGGAAGGACAAAGAACAATAAACTAAGATAACTGCATACCATTTCAAAAATGTTCATTTCTCCTAAAATAGAATAAATGTAAGTAACTGAGGAAAATCAATCCAAGAATTAAGTAATTAAAGCCTGTCAGGGTGGATGGATTTTTTTGTGTGTGCAACAAAGACTAGTTCTCAGTATTTTTCATTAATGACTTCCTAAGTAGAGAACAAACAAACAAACAGAAAACCTCGGTGGCAGTGGCAGTAGTAGATCCATCACCAGGGCAGCCAATCTACCAACCAGCTATTTGATATTTTCTTTACTTTTTCTTTGAAGTAATACGGAATCATCAAAATAATAATGGAAAATCCTTAAGAATCTTTAATCATCTCCACTCTCACTGTATCAGTAAATATGACCATCAGTGATAATCAGCAATTTTTTCCTTCCTCGGTACAGGTTCTGCCCTATGAACACTCCTTTGTGTTTATAATCATACTATAGAGGCAAGTTTGTAACCCTGTTTTTTATACGCTATTATGGTTTTTCTAAATAGAAATTTTAAAGTTGCATAAAATATTATTTAATGTTGGAAATAGTATTTTTATTCCATTATAATCAGAATTCAAGTTTTCAATTTTTGCCAACCAATATATATGACAAATATATAGGAAAATCTTCTTTAGGACAGACTTCCAGAAGCAGAATTAAAAAGTAAATGATATGAAAATATTTAAAGTTGTTGAGTATTTCCAAATACCATTCTAAAAAGGCTGATGTGATTGAATAACTATTAGCAACAGAAAGATATCCTCAAAGTACTGGATAACTGGGTGATAATTTATTAGTTTCTATATTTTTTCATGTATTTTTATTATTAAAAAAGTGATGTATGGAAGTGTTACAGTTACAGATAAAAAGTATATTTCTTTTTGGACAATGTTATCGTTTCTGTCACTCTCCCCCAGGTTTTCCCTCCCATCCCTACTCACAAGCTGTATAGTTCATTTTCAACATTGTCTAGTGAGTACCACTGTTGCATTTGTTTACCCTTTGTTCCACCATTTCTGTACCTCTTCTTACCCTCCCAAAGACAGATAATGAACAAACAAGACAAAAGGAAAAGAAAACAAAAACACCAACAAAGAAAAAGAAACCTCTTGTTTCCATTTCCTGGAGTTCATTTCTATAAATAAATTTTTTATATGATCAGATGCACATAGGTATTATCTCTCTGTGATGATCATCTCCTAAGAATATCCTCCTTTGGTCTCACTGTGTGTAAATGCCTAGAGACCTTCATAATTTATCATGTCCTAGTATATATTTAACCATCCAGTGTGTTTACTTGTAAATTTATAGGCACATTCTAGCTACCACAATGCTCTATAGTCTTTCTTAACAGTCAAGGTAAAAAAAAAACATATGTTTGCTACTTGCTACTGTTACAAGCTTTTTGTCAATGGCTCATTATAAAATTATAAAAGAATATAAAATTATAAAGAATAAATGATTAAGAAGAATGATATAGTTTTTACAAACAATATTTATTAATTGATTTTACATTGATAAAGAAGGAAGATGTTGTTAAATGAATCTAACATTAGTTATGTGAAACAAAAGAATTTAATCCTGCTAGTAGAAGGTGTTTTAAATCATTGGATCTAGACTGTGCTTTTCCCCTGACCAGAGCATTTCCTTGACCTTATAAGCCCTAGTTATTTGTCAAAACAAATGAAATTTTATTATTTATCAGCTGAATTTTAGTTATCTACCAGAACAAATAAAACAGTCCCATGCTATTCCATATATTTTATCATTACTTTACTGTGCACTTTTCTTTTTTTTGCCTTCAGGTAATACAACATTTTGTTTATGAAATTCTTTAAATAAGTTTTTATTGTGAAAATACTGTACAGAGGGGTTACAGTTGCATGAGCAAGGTAATGAGTACATTTCTTATCAAGCATTGTTGCCTCCTCCTTTGTTTTTTCCTACCATCCCTTCCCTCCCACCTCCACAACTACACTCCCCCACACTGTGCATTTTTCTATTTTTGAAAAAGTTTACTGTAAAACAGTATTTTGTGTCCTGCTTACAATATCCACATACATCCTATGTTTACTTATATCTCTACATCATAACTATTATTTTCACTTGTGCTTGATTTCACCTCATGTCCAAAGACCAAAAGGATCACACACACAATATAACTAAGGTTGGTACAACTGCATAATATTCATACAACTATGATATCACCTAGTAGTGCATTTCTCAAAAATACCTTCATCATTAATAATGCATGACCTCACATGTTTCAGAGTCAGACAGAACTAAAATCAAGTCTGGTAGTCTCTAATTATGTGATTTTGGACAAATTACAATTTTTTCCATGGCCTCATAATCATATGTAAAATAAGGCTAATTATTGCTCAGAGGCTATCATGAGAATTTAGTAAGATAGTCTACCTAGAAAAGCCAGCATAGAGCCTGTAGAAAATTCCCAATGATAGGCAGCTACTACATACCTAATTCTTTTACCAGATGCAAAACTGCCAGAGAGAATGAGACAAAGCATCCGGGTGTCCGGAGCAGTATAGGCCCTGGCACACTGAAAAGAATGTACTAATGTTGTATGATATGCTTATTTCTGATATAGTAATAAATGAAAAAAATGCGTAGAAAATTAGAATTAAGATTAAAATGTAAATATATGTGGATGAAAACTTCCTCATATTGTTCCCTTTAAAGTCTTTCCCAGATGTATTTTTCGGAGACTTTCTTGATCACCATCCTTCACCTTTGTGCTGTATCGCCTTAATCTCGGTCCTTCCCTTCCTCCACTGGAGCATGAATAGGTAAGGTTGCTCAAAGTAGCCAATGAATGGTCAGATATAAAAAATTCACCTTAGCCGGGCGCCGGTGGCTCACGCCTGTAATCCTAGCTACTCAGGAAGCAGAGATCTGAGGATCGCGGTTCAAAGCCAGCCCCGGCAGGAAAGTTCGTGAGACTCTTATCTCCAATAAACAGCTAGAAAACCGGAAAAGGTGCTGTGACTCAAGTGGTAGAGCGCTTGCCTTGAGCTGAAGAGCACAAGGACAGCGCCCAGGCCTAGAGTTCAGACCCATGACCGACAACCCCCCCCCCCCCCAAAAAAAAAAAAAAAAAAAAAAACAAAAAATTCACCTTGTTAACACAGATGTCTGCAACCCTTCTGGGTATAGGTAGTCTTTTCTACTTCTAGGTCTTTAAAATAACCTAGTTGTTATTATAGTATTTGTTACATTACTGTGACTCAAAGATACTGAACAACTAAAAGTTAAAATAGTACGCTCTGTTCAAAAGGAAATATACTCATTACCAGACTTTTCTAACTGTAACCCCTCTGTACATCATCTTTAAATAAAATTTTTTAAAACAAAAAAAAAAAAGCTGGGGCTGGGAATGTGGCTTAGTGGGAGAGTGCTTGCCTAGCATGCATGAAGCCCTGGGTTCAATTCCTCAGTACCACATAAACAGAAAAAGCTGGAAGCAGTGCCATGGCTCAAGTGGTAGAGCACTAGTGGTATATATATACACACATAATAGAACTTTATGCCTCCATCAGAAAGAATGATATCAACCCATTTATTAGGAAATGGAAAGACTTGGAAAAAATTATATTAAGTGAAGTAAGCTGGACCCAAAGAAACATAGGTCCCATGGTTTCCCTTATTTGCAATAACTAGTATATGTCTAGCACAAGCAGAAAAGGTCAAAAGTTATGTACATTATGACCATATAAGATGATACTAAGCAAAATGAATCCCAAGAGAGGAACACAAGAGGTTTTCTTTCTTGCTGTTGTTTTTAATGTACTTATAATGTACTATATGATTTCTTTTGTTTCTTGTCCCATGGTATAACCCGTTTTCACTGTATTTGATTCCAGTGTCCTGCATCTTGTACATACATTTTTCTAATTTGGGGAGGGGAAGGAAAATAACAAAATGCTGAAATAAGGATACAGATTGGCCCATTGTAACAATGAGATGTACAAGACACTATGCTGAAAATGAACTTTATAACTTTGCGGGGGAGGAGGAAGGAAGGAGTTGGGGAGGTAGAGAAGGGAGAGTAGGAGAAAAACAAAGGAGGGTGTAACAATGCTCAATAAGAAATGTACTCATTACCTTACTCATGTAACTGTAACCTCTGTAGAGTATCTTTACAAGAAAAAAATATATATATAAAGAAAAGAAAAAACCAGAAGCAGTGCTGTGGCTCAAGTGGTAGAGCACCAGTCTTGAGCACAGACTGGCACCAGGACAGAGCCTAGGCCCTGAGTTCAAGCCCCAAGACTGGCAAAATAAATAAATAAATAAATTAATAACTAAATTAATTAATAAAGCAAGCAAGCAAGCAAGCCAATGGTCCTCCCCCCAAAAAACTAAAATAAAATAATGTGGTATTTTAAATAATAAAT